TGCTGAACCTTAGGGGCGACAGAAGAGATTTCCTACGGTAATTTTGACGACCTGTGACCCTAACTTTAGAACTCCCTGTTAATTCCCTGGCAGTCCAGACTCCGCACTTTCACTTCAGCTGTCCTGGTTTCGATCCCTGGTCGGGGGGCTAAGATCCCACAAGCTGCGGGGCACAGCCAAAAAAAAACAATTCCCCTGCCACCCATGGTAATCTTATGGGCCAGTTAGGGCTCTGTGAGGTTGCCTGAGGTCACACGGCTAGTGAGGGTGTAGATGGGAAGGCATGCATGTGGCTGGGGGCTCCTTCCTATCCTCTGCTCACCCCTCCAATGGCACGCCCATGCTTTGTGGTCCCACTGAAACAGCACTGCCCTAGGACCGAGAGTCCCAGGTTCAAGCCCAGCGTCTGAGCCTCACTGCTGGGTGGGACCTCAGTTTTCCCATCTGAAAAGTGGGAAGAAGAATCCTTGCTCTGCTTCTCCAGCAGGGTTCCTTCGGGTAATCCAGATAAAAGCACCAGGCCCAGCTCTCTTGGGGCAGGGAGACAGACCTACAGGCTTGAGGCTGGGGTCTGAGTACCCTTGAACAGGAACTCAATCTCCCTGAGCTGCAGGGAGCAAAATCTGCAGAACGGGGGTCTCACGGGATTTACAGGAGACACTGGATGAAAAGTGGCCAGCTCACAGTGGGACATATAAATGGTTTTGTCCACTTAGTTCCAAAAGGGTGACACTGGCCAGAGCAGAGGGAGGGCACAGTCCTTCTGACTCCGTTAGACTGGGGACCTTTGCTCCACCTTTATTTTGTTTATATTCTGTATCCCATCCGTCTCGGAAGACTTGAGTCAGTTCACAATTTAAAATTATGCAAAAAGACAGTTAAAAGAGGGTGAGAGGGCTTCCCTGGTGGCGCAGTGGTTGAGAGTCCGCCTGCCGATGCAGGGGACGCGGGTTCGTGTCCCAGTCCGGGAAGATCCCACATGCCGCGGAGCGGCTGGGCCCGTGAGCCATGGCCGCTGAGCCTGCGCGTCCGGAGCCTGCGCTCCGCAGCGGGAGAGGCCACAACAGTGAGAGGCCCGCGTACCGCAAAACAAAAACAAAGAGAAAGTTGGGGAGTGGGATGTGGTAGCAAGTCAGATAATTACACCTGAAACCCAGGGAGAGGCACTGACCTGGGTCCTTGCTTCATCCCTGAGATTTTAGGCTTCCAGGCGTCCCTGGGAGGAGGCTGGGGGGTGCAGCGTCTGGAGAGTAACCAGCCTGCATCCCACAGTCGCTCCGTACTCGGCGATCGACACGTGGCCGGGCCGGCGGAGCGGGGGCATGATTGTCATCGCGTCCATCCTGGGCTCCCTGCCCTTCTTCTTGCTTATTGGCTTTGCTGGCGCCATTGTCCTCAGCCTCGTGTGAGTACCCGCCAGTTGGGGGGAGGCGCGGACAGGGCTTGGGGACACACTCCACCAGGAGGGTCTTCTGAGGTGGGGAGAGCCCGGGAGCAAGAGAGCTGCCTTCCACCCTGGGTGGGGTGGGGTCTAGTGAGAGGGGAGCAGGGTCCTGGGGTGTCCAAGGTCAAGTCTTCAGCTGGGTAGGGGGTTGCTGAGCACTGGGGCCTTGTGGGCAGATCCTAGCTCTGACACAGCTGTGCGTCTTGGGCAAGTATCTTATCCTTCTATGCCTCAGTTTCCTCTTCTGGAAAATGGAGATTCTAACCAATATTATCTGCCCCATGGAGTTTTGAGGGTTAAGTGAAATATTCCCTATAGAGTCCTCAGGTCAGTACCCAGATACTAAATGGGTATTAGCTTCTCTTGTCATTATAATTCACTCACTTGCAGTACAGATGGGGAAACTGAGGCCTGAGGGGGGAAGGGTGGCCCAGGGTCACACCCCCAGGTAAAACAGAGCTGGACCAGAGCTCCTGAGTCTCCTGACGCCACTACCAACTCTGATGTGCATCTATTTAGGTCAGGACTGGAGGTGTCCCATGGGGTGTCTGGAGCAGCTAATGGGGCTGCCTGGTGGGAAGACAGGAATCCACTAATCCTGGGAGGATGGAGCAGGCGGTGAATTGAGGCAGCCGCAGGTTCAGGTGCCATGAGAATCCAGAAGAGGGCAGGGCAGATCCTACCTGGAGCATCAGGGTGGGCTTCCTGGAGGAAGGAACAGCAGGAACAAATTTTTATCAGGACTGGGATGAATTGAAAACTCACATGCAGTGTGCATCTCAGCAAGAGAGGCAGGAGACCCGGGCGGCTTTAAAGATGGGGGGTGGGAGGGGGGGGTGCCTGTCCCAGCGCGGGTGGAGAGAGTGGATGGAAAAGCTCCTTGGAGTAGGTGAAATTATGTGTAAAGGTAGAGATTAGCCAGGCAGGAAGAGACGTGGGGTGGGTGAAGGATGGAGTAGGGAGCGGGCAGTGAACTTGGAAATCACATTGCCCTCTGACATTTAAGTTAAAAACACAGATAATAGATGAAATTAGCCACCAAGAGACTGGTCTGTCTGGCCAGACCTGGGAGCAGTCGGGATGTGGTGATGTCCCTCCCTCCCTTTGGGCAGCACCCTGATCTGGTACCAAGGTCCTGTTATCTGACTTTAGCCTGGCTCTTCCATTTGTCCCTCCTACCATCCGCACCCCAGCTCCAGCTGCACCCAACTTCCCCCTCTTTCCCCAGACACTCCCTAGTCCTTCCTATCAAATGCCTGGAACACCTTTCTGTGCCTCCACTCTCCCCCTTTAAGGCCAGATTAACTGCCGCCTCGTCCAGGAAGCCCTCCAGTGGACTGGTCATTGTGTGCTGTGGTCTGTCTCCCCATACAATCTTAGCTCTTTGGGGACATTTGTCCAGCTCACGGTAAGACCTGTAAATTGTTCACACAATTCCAGAAGAGTGACACTTTTCTTATCCCAGGGCCTGGCACACAGTAAGTGCTCTGGAAAGATTGGTCTATTGAATGAAGGCCTAAGGTGACCTCCGTGAAAGCAATGTCTAAGTAGAAAGGTCCCTGACCAGCTGAGGGGTTGGGGTTTGCTCTGCGCCCCTAACCCCGGCTCTGTTCATCTCCTCCGTCAGGGACGTGGGCAGTGCTGACGGGGAAACAGCCCACGACTCCCAGATCACGCAGGAGGCCGTCCCCAAGTCCCTGGGGACCTCGGAGCCCTCGCACACGTCTGTGAACCGGGGGCCGCCCCTGGACAGGGTCGAGGTGTATGCCAGCAAGCTCCAGGACTGAGGCCGGATGCCGCTTCTGGGCGGCCACAGTCTCCCCGACGGGCTTGCTCAGGGGTCTGCGGGGGGCCATGTTCACACCCTGACCCCAACCAAGGTGAACACAGGGCCTGTTGGTCCAACTGCAGGAAAGCACTTAATCAAATCTTCTCAAGATTTTGAGTTCAATAAAGACTTACAGAATGAATGAGTGAGATGCTGAATGAATGAATGAGTCGTCATTTTGAGGGTTTGCATTGTTTCTCTGGAGAGTGGGGGCAGGGGGCTAATTTTCAGTCAAAGCAAAGGTGGAGAGGGTAAGGAAATCAGGGCTGTTAGGGCACCGGGGTTGTCTGAGTCTCAGGCTCCTCCGGAAGATGGGAAATCAGCACCTCCCCTGAGCGCTTCGCGTGAGCTTTAGGGATTATTAGATGCCATTTTGGGGTTTGCTGGCTGTGAGGTACCAGAAGTTGATCTGGGCCCAGGGTACGGCTCTGCTGGCAGCTCGTCCTGTCCCGCTCACCAACGCTGTATTCAGCTCTTTCTCTCTGGGGCTCAGTTTCCTCATCTGTAAAATGGGCTGATGTAAACAGTTAATTTCAGGGCCATGCACTTCTGGGTCCCTTCATAGCTTTCTCTGAGGACCCCACCACAGGCAGGGAAAAGAGGCTGCAGGACACAGGGGAGGGGCACCAAGTCCTCCTGGGGTGCAGACGGGCTCTCCCAGTCCTGGGTCTATGAGTCTCCGCTCAGATAACTCAATTCTATCTTCTGAGCCAGGTAGCAAGACTGCTTTCCTTTCTGGGATGTGCAAAACAAGTCAGTCCCACTTCCCATCACTGAAGGAAGACGTTTGTCAGGGGACTTCCCCAGCGGTCCAGTGGTTAAGACTCCGTGCTTCCAGTGCAGGGGGCGCAGGTTTGATCCCTGGCTGGGGAACTAAGATCCCACATGCCAAGCGGTGTGACCAAAAAAAAAAGAAGAGGTTTGTCAGAGCAGGGTTGGTTAAAGAAAGAACGCTACCTGACAGCTGTGAGGAAGAGCCCCAGCAGGCTGATGGGGTGCTCTCAGGGCACCAGATCACGGATGCTGAGACATGTCCAGATGTACCAGAGGGGGCCATAGCTCACAAGGCAGGAGGCCTTTGGCCCCTTTGGAATGGCCTTCAGGCCCCTTCTGTGCAGCACAAGGGAGAGGAGGATAAACCTTCATCTTTGGGCAGCATGGGGTTGGGGGGTGAGCTTGGATTCGAAGGTAGAAGCCAAGCCTTGGCCAGCTTCCAGCCAGTTCTATCCAGTCTGCAGAATAACCCAAGCTGGTGGGCGGGGGTGGGTGGGAGAGGCTGGGCTTGGCTCATGGATTCTGGGCTGGACTCAAGCTTCACAGAAACTTCTAATTATAAATACGCACAGAAGCAATTTTTCTAGCTCGCTTCTCAGATTCTGAAGGATCCTCTCCTCTCATGACTGAGCTGGCAGGGCCTTCAGAGCTGAGCTTTCCACCTCCACACAGATGCTGCTTCACCTTCCCTTCCATCTCAATCATGGTTCATCAATGAGCTGATCACTGTAGACATGCTGTGTGACTTGGGGCAAGGAAGTACCCTCTCTGGGCTCCTCTGACCTCCTCTGTGCAAAGAGAGTCAGAATGTCTGTGAAGGCTGCTCCAAAATAGGTGATTTTTTCTGAGATCTAATCAATCTCGAGGTGATGTCATTCAGTTAAATCCAACCAAGCCCTGAGCTCCAGGCTTGGGAAAACTCAGAGCCACCCATCCGGTCAGAATAGAAATGCACAGAGGAATTGTCAAAGCAGAGCCCTGGACAGAGCATGGTCTGTCCTTCGACACACAGGTCAGCCCAGAAATGCTAGAAATGCTGTAAGAATCAGAGGTAGGATCCCCCTCCCCACCCAACCAGGGCTGGCATAGCCAGGAGGGCTTCCTAGGGGGAGGAGGTGATTTTCTCAACTTTTCTCAACATACAACCTTTTGAGATTTTTTTTTTTTCTGGCAGCGTAATTCCCTTGGGGCCCATCCAAGTTGTTGCAGGTATCAACAGTGCATTCCTTTTTATTGCTGAGTAAGTGTCCCGTGATGTAAATGGACCACAGTTTGTGTATCTGTTCTCCCACTGAAGGACATTTGAGCTGTTTTCAGTTTTTAGCTGTTATCAATACAGCTGCTATGAACATTTATGTAAAGTTTTTACATGAACATAATTTTAATTTTTCTGGGGTGAATACCTGAGTGCTATTGCTGGGTTGCATGGGAAGTGCATGTTTCCTTTTTTTTTTTTAATTTATTTTTGGCTGTGTTGGATCTTTGTTGCTGCACGCAGGCTTTCTCTAGTTGCAGGGAGCGGGGGGCTACTCTTTGTTGCGGTGCTCGGGCTTCTCATTGTGGTGGCTTCTCTTGTTGCAGAGCACAGGCTCTAGAGCACAGGCTCAGTAGCTGTGGTGCACGGGCTTAGTTGCTCCACCGCATGTGGGATCTTCCCGGACCAGGGCTCGAACCCGTGTCCCCTGCATTGGCAGGCAGATTCTTAACCACTGCGCCACCAGGGAAGTGCAGCACTATTTTTTGTTTTAGCCATTCTGATAGGTGTGCAGTGGTTGTATGCCTTCACATTCCCACACACAGTGTGAGAGTTCCAGTTCCTCCACATCTCCTGCAACACTTGGTATGGCCAGGCTTTTAAATGCTGGCCATTCTGGTGGTGTGTAGTGGTTTTGATTTGCATTTCCCCATAATAATGTTGAACACCTTTTCAGGTTCTTATTTGCCGTTCATATATTTTCCTTGATGAAACGTGTTCAAAGCTTTTGCTCAGTTTTTAAAAACTGGGTTGTTCGTTTATTATTGAGTCATGAGTTCTTAGTATATTTTAGATTGGGTCCTTAGTCAGATACGTGTTTTGCAAATTGCTCCCAGGCTGTGTTTTGCCCTTTTATTTTCATAGTGGTGTCTGTCCCTCACCCAACTTCCCTTTTCTTTATAGCCTCCCCACGCCCTGACACGTGTTTTTTTTCTTTATAAATTTTAATAATGGTTATGTTTTTAAAAATTAATTATTTATTTTTGGCTGCATTAGATCTTCACTGCTGTGCACAGGCTTTCTCTAGTTGTGGCGAGCGGGAGCTACTTTTCCTTGCAGTGCGTGGGCTGCTCATTGCAGTGGCTTCTCTTGCTGCGGAGCATGAGCCTAGGCATGTGACATGTGTTTATTGCCCATGTCCCTTCTACACCGTCAGCTCCATGAGGCCAGGGGCTATTTTCCTGCTGTGTCCTCAGCTTCTAGGAGGTATTCATGCTGGTCCCCTTAGCCTTATCATGGCTGCTGGGGAGCAGGGGCCTGGATTGGTGAGCCGAGACCTCAGAGTGGCTTGTTGCAAACTTCCAGGCCAGGGGTGAGGAGGCCTGAGCTGGGGCCTGGGTGGGGGGCAGACGGACAGCAGAGAAGGAGGGCCAGAGAGACTTCTCCAAGCTTCCCTCCTCCCTTCTCCTGCCAGCAAAGCCGTCCTGCTAGCTACACACGCGCCACTGGCTGCCCAGCACTGGCATCACAGTCCTACCTGCCAGCCTGCCCAGACACAGGTACAGCACCAGGAGTTTCTACAGGAAATCGATGTGAGGGAAGGTAGGGGAATTCCCTGGCGGTCCAGTGGTTAGGACTCTGTGCTTTTGCTGCCAACAGCTCCGGTTCCATCCCTGCTCCGGGAACTAAAATCCCACAAGCCACACGGGGCGTAGTGTGTGTTATCTACGTAGGGTGTGGTCCAGAGGCACCTTTGTGTTATGATGTGGCAACAGAGCAACAACTTCCTTTCTAGGATGGAAGGATTGTCAGCTCATCCCTGATGTCTTTCCCCTCTCCCGGGGCCCCGCCTGTGACTCTGTCCCTTTTCTCCATTCTGCCAACACCACGCCCTTTCTGTAGCCAGGGATGTCCTGCAGCTGTTCCCAGCAGTTGCCCACCCTCCAGCTTGGCCTGGTTACTGTAAGTCTTCAGTGTCTGTTTTTCAGTCTGTTAAAGGGGAATAATAATACCTACTGCATAGGATGACTGATGGTGCAGTAAGATGCATATGGAGAGTTTAACACGTGGCACGTGGTAGGTGCTCAGTAAACAGTAGTGTAAACGCACGAGAGCAGCTTCTGCACAGAAGTGAGTGGGGTCTGCCCAGGGAACCGAGCCTTGTGGGTTCACGCATACACATATTCACTCCTGGGTTCAGTACACGCTGAATGAGACGTGCTCACACCCATGGGGTGGAGGCTGGGATGCGGACTCCTACACCCTGCGGCGCCCACACCATGTGACATACATCCGCACCCCAGCACCATGCCGGCTCTGTGTCTACCTGCCCCGCCACTGCCTTATCTGCTCTGAGAGTGTGCAACGCGGCCAGGTGGCAGTGCCTCCCAGTAATTTTCCACAGCTTGAGAGAAGCTGTGTCTCTCTTGGATATGGGGGAGGGGAGGGGAAGGCATTGTTCCCAAGGTGTCCCTTCTGCTGGCTTTGTCCTTGTAAGGCTGCCTGGCCTGAGCTTTTGGGTGGAGGGGCTGAGACTTCCAGCCTGCACCTCGCCTGGAGCTGAAATGATTACTCTAGCTCCAACGTCCTGGCACACCCTGCCCGGCCCCCCGCTGTGCCTTGGGTCTGACCTCTGACAGCACCGAGCCCACAGGGTTCTGTTTACCAAGGTCCACGCTGGGGCCTGGGGGCCTTGAGGGCAGGGGCTGTCTCCTACAGGTCCAGGTGTAAGCAGATAGGTTAGGGGGTCCCCAGATAAAGAGAACCAGGCATGGCTTTCTTTTTTTTTTTTTTTTCCGCGGTACACGGGCCTCTCACTGTTGTGGCCTCTCCTGTTGCGGAGCACAGGCTCCGGACGTGCAGGCTCAGCGGCCATGGCTCACGGGCCCAGCCGCTCCACGGCATGTGGGATGTTCCCGGACCGGGGCACGAACCCGCGTCCCCTGCATCGGCAGGCGGACTCTCAACCACTGCGCCACCAGGGAAGCCCGGCATGGCTTTCTTGACATAAGAGAAGCTATTTTTGGCCTAAGCCATTTTGGGATGTCAGCTTGGCCATCGTGCTTGCCCTTGAACAGGTCTCAGTAATTAATGATATTAAGAAAAGTGAGGGAATGCAGGAACAAAGGAAAAGCAGTCAAGAAACAATAGTCAGTGATAAAACAGAGTCCCAGTTCCTCCTCAAGAGATATACATCCTAACCCAATAGTCTTTGAGTTCTGCAGGAACTAAGGCCCCCATGCAAGTGGAGGACAGAAAGATGATGTTGACCCTCCTGACTTTAACTAAATCTTGGACTCTGGCGACCTTTACCCCAGTTCTATGCAGAATTCTCCTCTGCTCAAGCCCCTTCATGCACGTGTCTTTAGTTTATTATTCCTTTTTGGTCGCGCCACGTGGCTTGTGGGATCTTAGTTCCCAACCCGGGCCCTCGGCAGTGAAAGCACAGAGTCCTAACCACTGGACCGCCAGGGAATTCCCCACCCTTAGCTTAAAACTTTCCCAGTTTTGCGGTCTGGGGAGACACTGCTTTGGGAAAGATCCCCAGTGTTTTCCTTACTTGCAAGTAATAATAAATCCTTCCTTCTCCTGCTTTTTCTTTTTTAAAAATATTTATTTATTTATTTGGCTGTGCCAGGTCTTAGTTGCAGCATGTGGGATCTTTTTTTTTTTTTCTTTAAGTTTCAGCCTGTGGGATATTTAGTTGCTGCATGTGGAATCTAATTCCCTGACCAGGAATCGAACCCGGGCCCCTTGAATTGGGAGCGCAGAATCTTAGCCACTGGACCACCAGGAATCTTAGCCACTGGACCTTTGCATTCTTTTTGGCTTAGTTGTGTCTTTTGGCTCCACATTCACCAAGAGGCGAACCCAGTTTTCGGGTAACACAGGTGCCCAGCACTCAGCACAGGTGCTCAGGAACTGAATTGCACTGTGTTCCGACCCTGGGTACAGGGCATTAGGAGCTGCAGGCAGTGGTGGTTAAATGTGCCTCAGCTTCCCCATCTGGAATAATAACGATGGCGACTTCCTCACCTTGTTCCAAGAACTAAAGGAACACAGGCAAGTGCCTGGCACCACATAGGAAGCCCACCTCTGCTCCTCCTTCACTCCTGACTCACTGGCCCCCGCGGTGTTCGGGGCTCTGGGGCCCCAAAAGTTCACAAGCTTTTGAAACTTACAAGCACGACTTTCCTCACGAATAGGAGGCTCCCTGTAGGCTGGGAGTGGGGTGGGGTTTGTTAGCCAACTTTAAAATCCGCGGGGGCTGGGGGTGGGGGGATGCGGGAGGTGCTGAGGAGAGAGGAAATAGCCATCAACTCTGGCTTGCTTGCTTGGGCAGGGCAGGGCAGGGAGGGCGGACTCAGGAAGGACGGGAAGGCTGGCAAGAGGAAGTGGCTTTTGATCCGGTTAGGTTTTCTTCAGGGAAGGGAAGGGCTTCCACGGGCAGACAATGGGAGGAGGGGGCCGCCAGAATAATAAGATCATTAGGGGACACTAAACCAGCTGCGTACCGCTATGCGGAGCCCATCTACGCGCGATCTCATTTGGTTCTCTCAACCACCCCAGAAGGCGCGCACTAGCATCACAGGTTTTACAGACGCGGAACCTGGGACACGGAGGGGCGTGTGGTCTCTGGGACTCATGGGATCCGAACCCAAGCTGGTCCCATTCTCAGCTTCCGGGTGAGAGTATTTCTTGTTGAGGGAAGAGCACGGGTGGTCACTCACTCATTCACATTTGCCCAGCCCCGTTTTAGCTTCTGGGTACCCAGGGATATACACGGCGGACAAGGTCCCGGCTTTTCTGGGGAGCTGGGGAGTGACAACAAGTATACGTAATTTCTGGTAGAATTCTGAAAGAAAAGAACGCGGGGCTGGGGGAGGGGACTGGCGATTTTAGGCCCGCAGGGTCTTTGGCAAGCAGGGCGTGTTTGGAGACCCGACATTGGCCCGGGTCTGGACCCAACTCGGGTTGGAAAATAGAAGCTGTGCATGAGTGTGATGCAGGGCCTGGCTGCAGAGAGGCGCCTCCGATTGCACTTAATGGTCTCTATATCCCTGCAAAGTGCGCCCGCGCCCATTTTGCAGATGAAAAAGCTGAGAACGCGCGGTGAGTAGTTGCAGGCGGAGCGCGGACGAAGGCTCGGCCCAGAGAGAGCCCTCCGCGCACTCAACCGCGCCTGCGCCGGAGATGGGGGCGGGGCCTCCGGGGAGGGCGGGGCCGGCGGCTAGGGAGCCGTTGGTTTTGGGGCGGAACCTTCGCGCGGCGAGGGCGGGCGCACGGGGCAAGGTTTTGCCGTAACGCCGCGGTCGGCCTCCGTGGGAGTCGCGGCTGGGGGCTGCGCGTCAGCTGCTCCGGCTCCGGCTCCGGGTGCGCGTGCCGTCCCCCCACCCGCAGACTGACTTCCGCCCGGCCTCGCCCAGCGCGAGGGGCGTGCGGCCTCCCGGAGCCCCCGGAGGCTTGGACCGCTGAGCGGGAGGAGGCGGCGGGAGCGCGAGCTCCGACCAGCGTCTCGGCGGCGCCGCGGGTGAGCTGGCTGGTTGGGGAGGCCCGGGGGTGCCGGATGGAGAGCCCCTCAAGACCCCCGGCCTCTCTCGGGATCCACGGCCGCCTCAAGGACCCCAGAGCTCGGTTCCCAAGACCCCTCGGGATCCGCCCCGGCCCCCTAGACCCTGTCGGAGTCACCGGCCACCTCTGGCCCCTACACCTTCAGGACTCTCGCGCCCGCAAACCCTTCAGGATTTCCCCTAGACCCCGAGACCACCTGAGGCCCTCCCGCCGTTTCAGGGCCCCGGGACCCCTTAGGATCCTCGGTTCCAGAAACTCCCCAAGATTCTCTCAGGACCCCCGAGACCGTCCCTGACTTTCCCATCCCCGGGTTCCCTGAGGCCTTCCGCGCCATCTCTCCCTAGCTCCTCCCCCGGCTCCCTGGGCCGCCGTCCCCACCCTCGGCGTCTGCCTTGCCCTCTACCGCCGGCCCCGAGGTTCAGTTGCCCTTTGCCTCCCTCTCCTCGCTGGTCTCGAGGCTGGGTTTCTCAGACCTGAGGTCCGTGGACCAATGCGGTGTCCGTGAAAGTGCCCCTGGGGGTTTGTGAATCCTTGATAATATAAAAGTAGTAGAGGCATATGAGTCACCAGATGACCTTTTGTAACCAGGTAGGGGGTGTGATCTCAGCGCAGGCCGTGGCGTCGTGTTTACTGTTGCATTGAGGCTAGAGCAGGACAGGGTTTAATTTTCATGCTCTGCGGTGAGACTCATGGCTCCACAGAAGCGCCTAGAAAACAGATCCGATGTGGTGCAGGGTGGCCAGCTAAGTAGGTGAGGGCCTTGGGGCGGATCAGGACGCTTTGAGCTTGTCTCCTAATTTTGTCATTCATGGAGCTAACTTTTTCTTTTTTTTTTTTTCTTTAAATGGCTGTGGTTGGGAGAGAATTGTTTGGAGGAAGCAGGACCACATGAGAGGTGGAGGTGACCTCGACCCAGGGTGGTGGCAGGGAGGACCGTGGCTTCTTCAAGCATGGCTAAGCTTCTTAAAGTCTAGACCCCAAAGACTAAGTTTCCGGGAATTGGCACTGGAGCCAGAGATGACACAGCCCCTGCTCTCAGGGCCACGATGGAGGGGGGTAGTTAAGCACCTAGGTAGTTTTTATATGGCCTTGAACTTAGCTGGGGTGAGGGTCCGATTCTCAGGAAGGGGTGTTATGGAGGACTTCTTGGAGGGGAGGAAAAGTGACAGGTAATAGGTGAGCTGATTCTTGAAGGTTGAAATCAAGAAGTTTGCCAGGGGCTTCCCTGGTGGCGCAGTGGTTGAGAGTCCGCCTGCCGATGCAGGGGAC